TCAAATAAATAAAATCTTTAAAAAATAAAATAAAGGATAAAATATTTAAAGATTACATGTTAATAGTTAAAGCTGGCCAAAAGGAAAAAGGTTTATTTACTAACATTCTAAATGGCCAATTTAATTCACATAGCCAAATAATACACAGCATGAAAATAAACCCTATAGTAGTGTAACATTTAGTTATAATGTAAACCTGACAGGAAAGATTTGTTGACTAGGTACTATGTGTAAGGCACTGTTCCAGGCACTATGAAAGAAGTAAGTCACCTAGTCTGGATGTCAAAGAGCTCTCAATCTCTTCTGGGAGACGATTTACCCTACACATAAAATGGCTTCAGAACACTAGTAGTACACTAGTAGTAAACGAAGATGAAGAGAAGACAAATCTGAGGCCACTTAGAGAAAATTAATGATCAGCACTGAGATGTTTATCAGAGGTTTTCTAGGGAAGTCACCCTCAGTGACTTGCTCTTCATTCTACTTGCTATAGCGCTGCCAAAGTACCTTCCAAAAACTTAAAACTTACGTCTCTCACCTTCCTAAAACTTTTCAGCAGCTCCCTATTAGAGCATGCGTTCAAGCCCCACAGAATGGCTGACAAAGTCCTTCCTTACCTAGCCTCTCCCTTCCTCACCTCCTTCTCCTCTGCACATTTTACTCCAGAAATAATACTGAGCTGCTTACAGTCCTACAAATATAGCCATGCAGTTCCATCTCTCTCTCTCTGAGGCAATCTGCTTAATTACTAAAATAAATATTTACATTGAGAATGTAGTTAATTTGGTAGCTTTCTTCACGGTTTCACATTTTAAGAAGAGCCACAGAGGTTTCATTCATGTTTTAAGCAGTTGGTTTGGTAGATTCTTGTCTCTATTCCATTGATTCCATATTCCATCAATCATTCCTCACACTAGTCACCTGGAAGACTATTCTAGTGCTTTTGAAGCACTGGTTGGGGTGGCAACTGTGATGGTGGCCAAATCAATGAGATTTCTATGTAACACGTGCAGGTACACGCTTGAATAATTTGCACGCACACACACACACACACACACACACACACCCATCTCCCGGCAAAATAACTCCTATTCATTTTTAAAAACCTATTTCTACTGGGGCTGGGAAGCCCTGTCTGTGCTATATTCACCCAATACTGGCCCACCTCTGCTACCTCTGTTTGTATCTTTTTGTATATATTTTTGTACTTATCACACTGAATTTATTTATATATACCTTGATAGATCTTAAAAGACCTTAAGCAGCTTTTGGTCAGAAATTTTTTCCATTAACTTCCATAGTCTTAGAATTTCACACAGTGTATGGCCCATAGTAAAACACTCAATTTGTGTTAAATGAATGAATATTAAATATATTTTAATGTTTTATTTTTTTGAGAGAGAGAGAGAAACGGGGGTTGGGGGGCAGGGCAGAGGGAGAGAGAAAATCTTAAGCAGGCTCCACATCCAGAGCAGACCCTGATGCTGGGCTCAATCTCATGTCCCTGAGATCCTGACCTGAGCCAAAATCAAGAGTCGGACACTCATCCGACTGAGCCATCCAGAGGCACCTTTAATGTTTTCTTTTTTTTTTAAGATTTTATTTATTTATTTGACAGAGAGAGTGAGAGCACAAGCTGGGAGACAGAGGGAGAGGGAGAAGCAGTCTCCCCGCTGAGCAGGGAGCCCGATGCAGGGCTTGATCCCAAGACCCCAGGATCATGACCTAAACTGAAGGCAGCCGCTTAACTAACTGAGCCACTCAGGCGCCCCTAATGTTTTATTTTGAAAAACATTTTAACTATACAAAAGTGGAGATAATAGTATAGTGAACCTCTAATATCCATTCCCCAGCTTCAGCAATTACCAATCTTGTCTCCTCTCTACTACCATTTACTTTCACATCCTCTCCCTGCTGCCCAATGATTATTTTGAAGCAAATCATAAAAGCTGTTTTTAATGGAATTTTAAAAAAAGAATATAACTCAGCAGAGCTGTATAATGAAAATATGGACATTAAGTGGGGAGAGGTTAATACAAGGAATGATTCCAAGTATGATCTTATATTATATATATTTAAAATTTTTTAAATATACATAAAATATACGCTTAAATACTTATTCTTTCAAAATGTTTTGAACATATTTCAGTTCCTTCAAGACAGCTCCCTGGTAGGTCAACTATAATGTTAAACAACTTGCTAGAGAAAAACTTGGTTTTTACTTACCAAAGCCAAAAAGACTATCAGCTTTGCCAGTTCAATGGCCCGTCCATTCACAGCTTTACTAGCCATGAAAGTGAAACAGATGTTGTTCCCACTTAGGATTAGGAGACGTGCATTATTCTCTAGAAGCCACTCACGGGGAACCACTTTTATTAGAGGAAGAACAGTTATTTAGTGAGAAATTACATAATAGCTCTAGTAAACATCATTAAGTACATGCAATATTATATTACCTTATTGGAAATACAACTAGAGCCAAGGGAAAAGCACAAAGTGCTTTGGTTTTGTAATCACTGCATTCAACCAGAGATAGAGATTATTGCCAAGTTATAGTGGCTTTTACAAATGTCCTAGCAATATAGTCAAAGCATTTCTCCTACACATATATCAAAAGGCAAGGTAGTCTAATTCTGTGTAAGGAAAGAAACCTTATAAACTTTAGAATCTAAAGGATTCTGCAGGAATGGAAAAATTTTTTTCCATCTGTGCCAGCAGGAGAGGGCTTTCTTCTTACACAACCTAGGAGGTTGTTTGTGAGAATTTGCAAAATGGAAATAACTGAGCTATTTAAATGTGAAACTTTCAAATAATAATAAATACATATTTATTGGCAATTGGAGGAAAGGAAGTTGATTATATGCATTCTCTTCAAACATATACCAAACTCTTTAAATATTTTAGAACATTTAGTGATTTCGAATAGGCAATTCCTTTGTTACCTATAGAATTATCCTTACAATTTTATAACTGTATTCAAAGAATATATTTCTACTACTCTGTGTGGTCAATATGTGCTTTTACCTGATAGTTCATCTACAAGACTGATAACATCATCTGCCGTCCACTCTTTGGTGCTTGTGTCATACAGTAATTTAATAGCATCAGCCAAACCTTTCAGACTGGATTCATCTGTAGGTCCTTCTATCATTTTCTGCCAAACCACCTGTCCTGGATAATTGAAACAAAAACTAGGCTATGACAGAACAGTTGGCTTTGTAATAAAGACTTTATGGATTGTTTAAAAAGGAAACTGGATTGCATTATAGAATCCCATTTGCTTATATATGCTACTTTCATAATGAAAAGTCAATTCTGATAACAGTATAAGTGTGACTGTCTCTGACTGATGTGACGAAGTTTAGCAACAATTGCTACATGAAGTAAAGAAAAGGTAGTTTCACCAAGTAGAATAGTGCTTCTAGTTCAAAGATAATGCTATGCCTGTAACAAAAATTATAATAGGGGCGCCTGGGTGGCTCAGTCGGTTAAGTGTATGCCTTCGGGTCAGGTCAAGATTGGGCCCTCTGCTCAGCTGGGAGCCTGCTTCTCCCTCCCCCGTCACCCCGCTTGTGCTTTTCTCTCTTTGTCAAATAAATAAATAAAATCTTTTAAAAAATTATAATAGGCAACTGATGTAATCGTACTAAAATCAAATGAAATCTATTGATATCCTTCCAAAAAGAGAACATGTTGTATTTGAGTACCTTCCAAATATTAAATATATCAAAACACAGTAATCCAGCCAATTTCTGAATATTTACCTATGACCAATTCTCTATGTGAATTACACAAAACAAAATTTGATCCCAGATCGGCTTCCTGCTGCTACTTTAAACTGGTTACCTCCTGACATAGGTAATGTGAACCAAAGAACTGTACGCTAATTTTAACATTAATCTAAGCAAAACTTAATTAGAAAGGCAAAAAAATGCACATAATCATATTATGCACCCCAAATTAAGTAAAACATCAATTTAACTACTACTGTGCTTTACAGACACTATTATTACCTTCCAGCAGCAAACATAATCTTGAGGTAAGGTAATGTTTAGAAATGAAAAGTAGTGACTTTTAGGTATACCAGAGATGATAGGAATATATTTGGTAATGGCCTGCAGTCTTGAAGTTTAAGTTATGCATAAGCTAATGTAGTGTACATCTATGAAATCATGAAACACAGTTTAATCATTAGGAATGAGGAAACTGAGCAGGTACAAAAAGATACGTTTCCTAAAGTAGAGGTAATTAACGTTTTGTAACATACATCCCTAAAAAATGTATGCTCACCATCTTGAGGAGATATTGGTCCAAAGATGATATACAATAATCTTGCCTGATTCACCATTGGCCATGGTTTTAATATACGTGTCAACCAAAAAGCAGAATCACTTCGATGTGTCCAGTGATCAAGCAGGACGTTCCTACAGAACAGTCTGATCCTTAACTCCAGTTTTCGGGCACTTCCTATGAAGACAAAAGAATTGTAAACCATTCTTCCTAGAAAGGCTGATGTGCACATTGGATATGCACACAGTGGATATGGTCAGTGATAGACATCTGTAATATACTTTGTACTGAAAGTATTATTTCATTTTCCTCTGTAAAAATTTTAGATTATCAAGGGACTATTTTTTAAACAATTTTATTGAGATATACTTTACACATCATACAATCCAGTGGTTTTAGTATATTCACAGATATGTACAGCCAGCACCAAGTCAATTTAGAACATTTTCATCACCTCAAAAAGAAATCCTGTTCTTTTAGCTATCACCCCCCATCCCTCCATTCTTTACCATCCCTAGACTTAAGCAACCAATAATCTACCCTCTGTCTCTAAAGATTTCCTTTTTCTGGACTTCATACGAATGAAATCATATAGTATGTGGTCTTTTGTGACTGATTTCTTTCACTTAGCACGTTTTCAAGTTTCATCCATGTTATGGCATCTATCAGTACTTCCTTCATTTTTATGGCCAAATAATATTCCATGGCATAGATATTCCTCATTTTGTTTATCCATTCACCCGCTGATAGACATTTGGGTTGTATCCACCTTTTGGCTATTACAAATAATGCTGTTATTAAGATTTGTGTACCAGTTTCTGTGTGGACACATGTTTTCATTTCTCTTTCGGATATACCTAGGAGTGGAATTTCTGGGTCATACAGTAACTCTAAGTTTAGTCATTTGAGGAACTGCTAGACTGCTTTCCAAAGTGGCTGCACCATCTTACATCCCGACCAGCAATGTATGAAGGTTCCAATTTCTCCATATTTTCACCAACACTTGTTGTTATCTGACTTTTTGATTTTAGCCGTCCTAGTGGGTATGAAGTAGTATCCTGAGTTTGTTTGTCTTTTTTAACAGACTTATTGAAATATATATAATTTACATACCAAAAACTTCACTCATTTAAAGTGCATAATTCAATAGTTTACAATCTATAATATTATTGGGGCTGGCTCAGTCGGAAGAGCATGTGACTCTTGAAGTTGAAGTCGTGGGTTCATGCCCCATGTCAGGTGTAGAGATTACTTAAATAAACTTAAAAAAATCTATTATATTATTAATTTTTTAAAATTGTGGTAAATATATTTATTTATACATATATAGATATATATAACACAAAGTTTGCCATCTTAATCATTTTAAAGTGTACGATACAGTGGCATCACTTAATTCATAATGCTGTTCAACCATCACAACTGTTTATTTCCAAAACTCTTTATCACCTCAAACAGAAACTCTATAACCATTAAGCAATAACTCCCCATTTCCCTCTGCCCCCAGTTCCTGATAACCTCAAATCTGCTTTCTGTTTTAATGAATTTGCCTGTTTGAGATACCTCAGTTAAGTGGAATCACAATATTTGTCCTTTGTTATCTGACTTATTTCACTTAGCATGTTTTCCAAGTTCATCCATTTTAGCATGCATCAAAGCTTCTTTCCTTTTTATAGCTGAAAAATATTCCATTGTATGAAGAGACCACATGTTGTTTATCCATTCATCTATTCATTGATGAACACCTGGGTTGTTCCCACTTTTTGGGTATTGCGAATAATGCTGCTGTGAACATTGGCATACAAGTATCTTTCCAAGTCCCAGCTCTCAACTCCCTTAGGAATAGCTAGGAGTGGGGCACCTGGGTGGCTTGGTCATTAAGCGTCTGCCTTCGGCTCAGGTCGTGATCCTAGGGTCCTGGGATCGAGCCCCACATCGGGCTCCCTGCTAGGCGGGAGGCCTGCTTCTCCCTCTCCCTCTCCCCCTGCTTGTGTTCCCTCTCTCAC